ACTAGTTTACTGTCCATTTCCGGGGTTTGTGGAGAACGGAAAGGTACTACTGGTGGGACACATGGGAATGTATGACTATCGGCCGTACGTCAAGAAAGTGACCAACAATAAGCAGATACTGTTTGAGTGCGAGCGGGGCTATCATCTCATCAACGGTCCGCCGGGGGCCACGTGTGTGGACGGCTTGTGGTCGCCCCACGAGTTGCCCCAATGCGTGCGCGGCTCACATCCGAAGATGCGATGGCTCAGCAGTTCCAACAATAAACGCCGGCGACGGTGGGTATTACGCGAAATGAATTACGGTATGGGAGGGGCGGCCGCGCATCAGCGCCGGTCCCGACCCCGAAGGCACCAGAAATATAAGGGTATATATCCGTAACGATTTGAGGTTTAGTTGTATTAATGTATTGACTCTGCTTTTTCCCGATAGCCTCGTGTAAGCCATTGAAAGAGACCCAATGGATGAAGATATCGGTGGTTAAGTTCGGTGTGGGCAACGAGACGTACCCTCACGGCACCCGAGTCCGCAACTATTGCTCCAACGGTTACGTCTCAAACATCGGTAATCTGACCGCCAAATGCGCGAAAGGCGTTTGGAAACCCCGGGAGCCCGAGTGTCAGATCGGTATATATTGACAATACATCATAAAACTATTATTATACAGTTTACTTATAAAGTATCATGTTACTATTTTTACTATTCCCCTATTTATAGCTCCCTGTCTGACGCCATTCGCGGTCAACGGTTTCTTCTACCACCGGAACGCACAGTTGACAATAGCGCACCGCATATCACACGGCGATGCCATACGGCTGGGCTGTATGGCCGGCCATCAACTGCATCTCCCTGTCTGACGCCATTCGCGGTCAACGGTTTCTTCTACCACCGGAACGCACAGTTGACAATAGCGCACCGCATATCACACGGCGATGCCATACGGCTGGGCTGTATGGCCGGCCATCAACTGCAGGGGGCGCCCACTATGAGGTGCTGGTACGGCGAGTGGACGGGTCCGCAGCCGCAGTGCATCGCCGCCCCCTGCGCTCTGCCCACCATTAGAAATGGTTACTATTCGGGCGGTTACCGCTCCGGACTCACCATTTCTCACGGCTCTGTCATTGAATTTCACTGCAAACCCAATTACGTTCGGGGCGTTCAGGAGCCGCCCCGTTGTTTCGAGGGCCGGCTTATGCCCGAACCGCCGCATTGTATTGAACACGACTTAGTTATGAATGTCATCGACGATAAGGTTTGTGTCCCAAACGATAAACCGGTTATAACAGTAATATTTGTTATAATAATTGTTTTTGTATTCAATTATTAGGCCATAAACGCAGACGAATCGATAATATCTGTGCCAAAAACACATGTATTATCACCGACTGGTGTGTCGATGGGTGGGTCGGAGTCGACCATAACGTACAACACTAGCACTCCATCGGAGATGCTTTGGTGCGAACCGCCGGACAAACTGGAAAACGTACTCAAATACGAGTCCACTTTCAGCGCTAATCATTTGCCACTCATTAGTATCGCACAAATCAATTCAAATGACAATAACGACAACAACAACAGCACGACTACAGCACAGCCAACAACAGCCGACAGCACCCCCTCAACAGCCGCACCCATCACCACAACGCCCATCACTGCCACCACTGTGTTCGCCAAACTCATTGAAATTACCACAACTTATTTCACCGACTTTTTAAACATAACTGATTTAAGCAAAGGCTTGTTATTGAGTGCCGCCGACAACAAGAGCGTCGATATAACGGATACGACGACCGCCGCCGGCCCTCAGGAAAAGGTATACCATCCGCACGGGACGGAAATTGTGTTCAATTGTTTGCCGGCGATGAATGGCCAGCGAAACACGTGGACAATCACGTGCGAAGACGGCGGTTGGATTGGCCGGGCGTCCAAATGCGGTAAAAAAGACAAGTTCACATTACATGATATATTTGTGGCAAAAAAATTTGGTAATTAATCGCAATTTTTGTTTACAATTAATGCCAATCTAGAGGAAGATATGGCGGCGTTGGAGCTGCGGAAGAATAACACCTGTGTCTACACCAACGCCGACCCAAACGTGTGGGCGTTTATCGGCGACCAGCGGATCGACGAGTACACAGAGCTGTCGGCCGGCACTCAACTCATCATACGGTGCAAAGACATCGGCAAATACAACCTCATTGGCAGCAAAACACGGAAATGCGTTTACGGCGAGTGGGACGGCGACCGACCACAATGTTTTGGCCTCTCGCAGGAGAACGATTACGCTCGTACAGTCTATTACATCATGGTTGTATTAACGGCAAATATTAACATGGTTATTTTTTGTAGTGGAAAAGCCGCCGACTATACTATTCCGGCACCAATTGGGACCAATAGCCCAGAGTGTGGACGGAAAGCTGATTGTATATCCGGGCACTATATTGCACTTGGAGTGCCTCTGGAAGCGCAAGTTTGGCGCACCCGTATGGGAGTGGAGCCATTCGTTCCGCAAATATAACCAGGGTATTGACATTTTGTCCGGTTTAAATTAATAATGTTGACGCAAATTGTGTTTTCATTATGATTGATGTATAGATTGGACAACAGAGTCGGGTCGCGATTCTGGCCTCGAGTTTCGTTTAAGTATATTTCACGCCCAGAAGGAGGACTCCGGGCTCTACACGTGCCGAACACCCAATTATCACAGACACTCTGTTGAGATAATTGTCAAACGTATGCCATGTTTTCAATCACATCCTTATTATTTGCAGACAATTGTTATTTATATTAATTATTTGTTTTTTTTTGTTATGAAATAGCGGTTCATTGTTCAGCGCTGGTAGAGAGCGACGGACTGAAGATTATAAGCCCGAGCACTAAAATGAACGCCAAAGCCTTGTTCACGTGTCGGCCCGGTATGAAACTGAACGGCACCGATAGTGCCGAGTGTCTGCCATCAGGCAATTGGTCCGCAAACACCCCGACGTGTATTAGTGAGTATTAGTACAACTACTTTATACTACTTGTGGTTTGCATGTAATTTGTGTTTTAAATTACATGAATGACAATATTGTTTGTTTTAAACATTTAGTAACCGAATGCCCGGATCTGACGAATAGCACCGACATTGCGATCATTGATAACCAAACGGACCCGAGATCTATGTTGAAGACGACGATGAATGGCCGATATGTCGGTGATGTGACCACATTCTCGTGTCCCATAGGCTATGGCCTCAAAGGCAAACCAGAGATCACTTGTCTGGAGTCCGGCCACTGGTCGGCAGCAGTTCCTATATGTGAAGGTATTAAATATATTTTTATCATTAAATCTGTCATAAGTAACACAACAGGAATTTAATTCAGTATTTAAAATATTTGTAAAATATTTTTTATTACTTTTCATATACAATAATAAGCTAATTCTTTGCCAAACGTAACATAAAAATCAATACCAATTATAATTGAACGAGAATTTCTTGTGTCAAAATTGACAGAAAATGATATTAAAATTTCATAAAAACAATTAGTATTTTTACTCGTGATTTATATTTTTATTCAATTTAATTTATTGTCAACTTTTTATTGTTATTTTGCGTTACTTTTAAGTCTACTTATATTTAAATGACATTTAGATTATGGGCTAAATATAGTAATTCTGTTGAAAATTTATGATTTTATTATTGAAAATATTTATTTATAAATTTTTATTAAAAAGTTTATTTACTTTTTATATTCTGTTTTAGACATATCATTTAATGCTGTCAATTAAAAAATTACAAATTACTTTATTATTACTTTATACGACAAAATGTGACAGAGGTATTTTGCGAGACACCAGTCATACCAACACATGGTTATCTACAGGGCGACAAAATACAGCGCTTCCGGGGCGGCGATATCGTACAGTTCACGTGCGATACCGGGTATATGCTTGAGGGCAACCCCATTGTCATCTGTCAGGAGAACAGCCGCTGGTCGGGTCCGCCGCCCAACTGTATGTCCACACAAAACACAGACAACTATTCACATAACAATATATACTAATATATGATCTTGTTTGTTTTGTTGTATGGCCAGGTGTGCCCGCGTGCACATACCCGGGCACAACACACGGCGGCATTATATCGATCGTCAAGTTCTTCTACAGCGTGAACGAGACGGTGAGGTTTGAATGCGCCGACGGGTACGACATGAGGGGTA